TCAGCAGTTGCCTCAGAAGTTTCCTGTCTCTGAGGTTCAGTAATTTCAGTTGTGTCTGAGGTTCAGTTAAAAACACACGTTCACCCGAAGCTAAAATTTGGGCTCTTACCGCTGTATGCCGTACCGCCATGGCGCTTCGGACCTTGCAAAAAGAAACGTGTCGCCTCGTTCAAAAAGTTCGGGGTCATCAGAGGTCCACATCGCGTTTCGGGGCCTCCGAAAGGGCCCTGCGGCCTATGTATGGTTGCCTTCTTCCTGGGCTCAGCTGTTGCCTCAGCAGTTGCTTTTTTTTTTCTTTTTTTTTTTCTTGCGCAGGCACCATGCTAATTAGTAATTACCTTTCTCTGTATCGTTCCAATTTTAACAGATATGATGTTCCGAAGGACAGCAGTTGCCCTTTTTTACAAGTTCAGCTTTTGCCTTTTTACAAAGTTTTTAGCAGGTTCACCAACTGCCTTTCTCTTAGATTCAGCAATTGCCTTTTTTTTTTTTTTTTTTTTTTTTGCAGCGCATCTGAATCTGCCTTTTTCTTAGATTCAGCAGGGGCCAAGTCCCACCAGCAGCGTTGAGTTTCCTCAACGCCTGAATCTGAACGTGTCTCTGGAGATGCGCAGAAATCGGGTTGAGTTTCCTCAACCCCACATAGCCACAAACGCGTCCAGATTCAGGCGTCGAGGAAACTCAACACTGCTAGTGGGACTTGGCCCCAGAGTTGCCTTCTTCGTAGGTTCAACAAGTGAAATTATGTGCTCGTCCCTTTCTTCAGGGCAATCAGGGCAAAGAACCACACTTCGGAGATATCTACCCAAAGCAACAAGGACATACTGTCACTTAGATTTCTGACAGTGCATCTGCCAGACGGTCTGATGAAAACTATGGCCAGAGTTCGGCCATAGAGTCTCATATGTTTACATTGCTTCTAATATTCAGTTATTAGAACTACCGTACCAACTGGCCCAGCTCAGTTGAAATACAGACCAGGTGCTGAGTTCGAACTCCACTGGAAGCAGATGAGTGAAATTGTACTACAATTCTGAACTCTACCTAAGGCCAGTCAGTTCTATGATAATGTCTCAGGACTGTGGGGTTTTTCTTTTTTTTTTTCGCAGCAAGCCTCATCTATATTCGGGGCAAGCAACCTCCCCCTAGCTTACCTATCCCCTCGGAGTTGAACCTAACCCCCACGACTGCTGGGAAGTTTGCAGACAAGGCCTCTTGGCATAACAGAAGTCTGGCGCAAGGTCCCCTTTGCACGGATTATGAGATTCTGGCCGTTGACCTTTGCCATCGACGGTCAATATCTCTTAATTCGTGTAAGTGTGACCTAACCCCCGGTGATGGCCACACGGTCACTAGCCCACCCTTTCATCAGGAGCTGCAGCAGTTCACTGTGCTTGGTTCTAAAGGGTGGGGTAAGGGATTCGGAGGGGTTAGCTCTGTGTCCAGTTCTAAGCAGGTTAGGCTACTCCGTTAAATCAAACAAACAAACATTTCATTTCCAATGTCCGGGGATGCTGGACCCGCTTTCCAGCAGGTGCTGGTCCCCACCAATAGATGGAGCCTCCCCGGGAATGATAGGGGTGTCTGCTCTTACCAGCACCTCTAGCATCGACCGGGTTTGTTTCTCTTTCTTTGTTTTGTTTTTTTTAAGGAAAAAAAAAAACTACCTTCTTCCCTCCGAACACCTTTTTTTTTTTTTTTTAAGGAAAAAAAMAACCTACCTTCTTCCCTCCGAACGTAATGCATATGCATTGTAAACAAATACAAGGCATAGGGTGCGTTCTATTTGAATACAACACGTATGTTCTCTTTGAATACAACACGTGTGTTCTATTCGAATAGTCCTACTTTTTTGCATACAACACGTGCATTCTATTTGAATTTCGTGAATTTATCAAGAACTCGAATACAACGCATATGCATTCTATTCTGGGCTACCAAAGTGGCCCGGGTCCACTTGCCATATATATCGTCACAAATATATATATATATCGTCACATATATATATACAGGGTTGCCGGCGTTCAGGACGGGCCGAACGCCCGAACCCCCAAACCCGAACGCCCGAACGTACGGGACCCCTTCGGAACACGTTCGGCCGTTCGGGCCGAACGCGGACCAAAAAAAAAAAAAAAAAAAAAAAAAACAAGGTTTTC